CCTGCCTTCTTTTGTTTTAAAGCATTTAAATACATCAGCTCGTCATTTTATACAGTTCGGATGCATTACTTTCAGTGTTTAGATTTTTATATGTGGCGTTTGGAAACTTTTTTATTATAAGTGTCACCTTTTTTTATTAATGGTATTAATTACAGTTGCTGGGCGGTGTGTTTGAACAGTGTCGAGCTGCAGTAAGAGAGAAAAGGATGATTCGCTGGTTTCTTGTGTTACTGTAAATAAAGTCTTTACATGCAGCTTTGATTGTTACTGGACTTAATGTAAAACTCGCTGTGTTTCAATCTCATACAGACGTGCATTAACCAAAAATCATTCGAGAGAAAATGCTGTTGATGTGTTGAGGGCCAAAGCTTCCTGGGACTGGCTTTGAAGTGAACTTTACATTTTTAAGACATCAATCTGTAGTCTTTGTAGTGTAAAATCAGAACTCCTAAATGTTTCCATGTTTGGCTTTGATTGTATCATTTCACACTTGTGTGCGTCTGTGGCCGTCAGTCCTCCTGTCAGCGTGGCAGCTCTGTGCCTCATTATGATGTTCATGTATTCAATCTGCATCTCAGAGGTTTAGGTTCCTGTTCGTTTTTTTTTTTTTTGCCTCCACAGCCATATCTGTACTTGAATCCTGCTGCTTTTCTTGGAGAACAAGTTTTTTCGTGATGGCAAACTATAATAAGGGCCCTGATTAAACTCTGCTGGCTGAAAGCTTTTAGGGCTTTATTGACAATTTGACTCTTTTGCTCCTGTTTGACTTTGACCTGCAGTGGACTTTGACATTCATCCCTTTTTAAGGAGGAATGAGTTTTATCATTGTAGTTCTTTGGGGGAAAAATACTTTGATGCAAATTGCATTGAATGTTTGAAATTGTGATTTTCATTCTTACAAGCTGCAATTCCAGTTGTTGATTCCTGTTTTCTGTCGAATTTCTTATGATCTTTCTTTCCATGGCTGACACAGCAATTTCTAACCGTATGTCTGTTATTTATAAAAACTGGTATTGATTAAGGAGTAATAAAAAGACAATGAATACTAAAAGTGTTCCTGTTTGGATTTTTCTAACAGAAACCAGAGGCAGCCAAGGATATATATTCATTGTTAGGTTTACCATCTGGCCACTAGATGGAGACAGAGACTAAATACTGGAGAGCAAATGAGTTTCAGTCATGTATGAACTTGAGTGTTGAACCTTAGGTGTTTACATTTAAAAACAAAACAAAACAACGTTTCTGTAACAGATTGCAAATAGCATTTATTTGTTTCTGAGGTTCAAATGATGAAAAATGATTTAAAATCTGTGACCAGAATTTTCAAAAACTCCTATCTAATCAAATTATTATTAAACTAAAGCTGTATTCCACCAAAGTGTATCAGGTGCATCTCAGCTGGATATTACCAAACTTAAGGAAAGAAGGGACAAGGGCGCACATATGAGGTCACAGCTTTTTAATTGTGCAACATTTCAATCATCTGAAGAC